TGCTACTGCTCATGGCTTGCTCAGCCTTTTTTTTTTTTTTTTTTTTATTTTTATTTTTTTTTTAGTTTTTTGAGACAGGGTTTCGCTGTGTAACCTTGGCTGTCTTGGACTCACTTTGTAGATCAGGCTGGCCTCGAACTCACAGAGATCCGCCTGCCTCTTCGTCCCTGCGTGCTGGGATTAAAGGCTTGTGATTCCTCTCGCTGCCCAGGAATGGCACCACCCACAATACTCCGGGCCCTCTTCCATGGATCACTAATTAAGAAAATGCCTTACAGCCAAATCTTAGGGAGGCATTTTCTCAAGCGAGGTAGGTTCCTTCCTTTCAGATAACTCTAGCTTTTGTCAAGTTGACATAAAACTAGCCAGGACAATGGGCATAAGTGAAATTGAAAAGGAATTGTTACAGAAAACCCTAAGCATATACAAAGGTGCCAGAACAGCATAAACAGCCTTCATTGGGGAACTGCTTAGAGAAACAACACCCTCCCTGGCCAACGTTCTCCATAGAATAACAACTCTTTCTCTTCCTCATCACTCCAAAATGAATTCCAGGCTTATACTATTTAACCCATAGATACCCACACAGCTCTGAAAAACAGGAAAGGGCTCTTGACATGTGAGGTCATTCTTCTTGGCTAGTTTTGTGTCAGCTTGACACAAGCTATAGTCATGACAGAGGAGGGAGCCTCAGTTGAGAAAATGCCCCCTTATGATCCAGCTGCACACAAGCCTGTAGGGTATTTTCTTAATTGGTGTTCCATGGGGGAGGGTCCAGCCCATAGTGAGTGGTGCCACCCCTGGGCTCGTGGTCCTGGGTTCTAGAAGAAAGCAGGCTGAGCAAACCATGAGGAGCAGGCCAGTAAGCAGCACCCTCCATGGCCTCCGAATCAGCTCCTGCCTCCAGGTTCCTGCCTGGTTTGAGTTCTTGCCTTGGCTTCCCTTGGGGCAGATTCAGGATGTGTAAGTCAAACAAAGCCTTTTTTTCTCAAGTTGCTTTTGGTCATGATGTTTCATCATAGCAGTAGAAAAGTAACAAAAAAAACACCCCAACATTATCCTGCCTAAAATAATAATAATGATAATAATTCTTTAATATGGTTGACCATGTTTTCATAGCCTCAGGTTCTTATTGTCTAACCACTGTAATTTTCGGGTTGGTTATAATTAGTTGATGTGACTTTAAAATTACGGATTCCATTCTGTTTCTTCAATTCCCCCTTTCAGTTTATGCTCAGAAAATTGGGCCCCTTCGTCCTGTGGCAACTCCCCATGGTGTTGGTCTGCTATATCCAGTTGTGGCTTCCTGTGTTTCTCAGCTCTCCTGTTCCCCGCTACCCAATCCTCGGGTCTAGAGACTTAAACAGATTCAGGTTTCGTTCCTCCCTTTGGCAAGGCCACTTCTGTGTGTCTCAGGACACGAGTGTTCACTTGTCTCTTCATGACGCCGGTACACAGCCCCATCAGCAGAGGAGCTGGCAAAGCCAGGAGCCCACCTGCAACTCTATCAGCCCTTCCTCAGTTACTATTGGGAAACTCCAGCAGAGAGGAATAGTCCCCAAGTGCTATTGTTAATGATTCAGTGGCGTAGTTTACATAGGGAGGCAGTATAACTGGTCACTCTTTCCCTTTGTGGATCGTTTTTTCAATGAGTTGGCTCCCCAGCAGCCCCCTACAGCGATCTAATTTTCAGAGTATCATGGCTAATTACTAACTTGCAGACTTAAACATGGAAAAGTATAATTCTGAGACAATGTATGATTTTATTTCAATGAAATAAAAATAGACACGAATAAACATACTCTATATAACCCTACTTAGTGTTTCACAGATAGGACCATTATCATAAAGATGACAATACCAAACAGGGTGTGGTGGCATTTAAGAGCACCGTGGGTGACCTAGCAAAGAAGAAGAAGAAGAAGAAGAAGAAGAAGAAGAAGAAGAAGAAGAAGAAGAAGAAGAAGAAGAAGAAGAAGAAAGAAGAAGAAGAAAAAAGAGAAGAGAAAACAACAGTTCCTTCAAATCCCACACTCAGAAAGCTGAGGCAGGAAGATGAAGCCACATCGAAGGTAGATCTATAGCCGGGACGCTCCCAGCAAAGGCTTGGTGGAGCGCACAGCCGGCTAACTGCGGCAGAGTGGTTGTTACCCTAAGATTCAGCTTCCCCGCTTGTTCTCTTGGTGCATAATACCGCTGGCTCTTCCATGCGCCCCTTCCTCTTCCTTCCACGAAGCCGTCCATGATTCTCCCAGGAATCAATACTTCATTTCTTTGTTGGGAAAATGTGAATCAAATACGTGAGACTATTCCAATTTCACACAACTCAGTGGGAACTCCATGGGTAATGAGTACACAGATTTTTTTTTTATTCTACATAGTTATAATAGTTTATAGATATCTAAATTCAATATTGCCTAAATATCAGGTTCGCTAAGGGAAAGAAACCCCCTTCTCTGGCTCCCAGACCCGGAACAGCCGTTCAATCCTGATCACAAACGTGGCGGAACACCAGCTAAGCCTCCGCTTCTGGACAGTACAATTCCACCCTCTGGTGGTAGCCTTGTGCTCTGCACCCAAATTCAGAAAAAAAAGGTACAAGTCAGGGCTCTCCTTCAAGGAGAATGTGTGCTGTCCATCCTGTCTCCTGTCCACCTTCATCCCCACCCCAACCTCAGGCAGCCATGTTCAAGAAAGAAATCCTCACAGGGGTCCTTTTGTCATGGACATGCCTTAGGTACTGTAATCATCTACTACCCGCTAATGTCACATATTCAAAGCAAAATAAATCCTCAGCCACATTGAACACCAACAGCCTGTCCCCACTCCAAAGCCTGGAGGTCTGTGTGTGAGAGAGTATCACCTGAATGCATGAGAACGGGAAAGGGGAACCCAGGTTACAAAGCGCCCTTGGGCTAGGGGAGCATGACTGAGTGAACACTGGAAAATGCCTGAGCACGGTATTAGAAGGTCGGCAGTGTGATATGCATAGGCCTCCCCCATAAGGACGGCACCGTTTAAAGCAGTAGAGGAATGTTAATCGAGAGAATGGTTGTTCTGGCGAGAGATCACAGACCTAGGTCTGTGTGATCAGGTTGGCCTACAGACATGCCTTTAATCCAGGAGACAGAGGCAAGAAGATCTAAGTTCAAGGCCAGCCTGGTCTTTCAGATGCGCTCAGTAGACTCCTGTCAATGTTTAGTGTGCATCCCATCTGTCTTTCAAAACGAGGATTGATAATCTTACCCCATGTCCGCTCTCTTGATTATCTTTTTTAGGTGTATAGATTTCATTATGTTTATCATATCTTATAGGTCTATATAAGTGAGTATATACCGTGTTTGTCTTTCTCCTTCTGGGATATTTCACTCAGGATCATTTTCTTTATACATCTCTCATACAACCATAATCTCCCCTTTCCCCCCTTCAAGCTTCAGGTAAAGAAAAGCTTAGGTCCAGGTGTAATAGTACACACCTTTCATCCCAAACAATGAGGTTAGTTTGTAGATACACCCATGTTTGAAAGTATTGTCTAATTGAGTGGCAGAAAAAGTGATGAATCAGAGAAAGACTGGAAAGAATAGGATTCACCCAACTGTCATGAGAAGAGAGTGGAAAAGAAAGCACTTTTCAACTGCCATGTCTCGTGACAGTGCAGAGAGAGAGAGAGAGAGAGCAGTTTTACTGGGACAGTAATAGAGAGATGGGTTGCAGAGAGAGAACTAAGGTGAAGATCTAATGAGCCAGAGAATGAGAAGGAGCTAGAAGATTAGAGCAGACTGCTTGAGGCGAAACAGAGCACTGCAGGAGCTAAGAAAGAGAATAGTCAGACTAAATAAGTCAGCTTAGAGAGGAGTTTGAGCTATCCAGCCCAGAGCTCGGTAAGAACGAGAAAGGGTGAGCTTATTCAGCAGTAAGTCTCAGAGGCTGAAAACATTCTAGGCCTAGATTAGATTGTATGGAGGCTAGAGGTTTCCAGCACTAGGCCTAGGTCAGCAGATGGAGCCACCAAGCAAGCCTCTCAGACAACTGGAACAGGTGAATAAAAGCTATTTTTACACTTTCTAGTGTTATAACCACACTAGGGTTTTAAGAAAACAATTTAAGCCAGGCCCAGTGGTGTACACTTTAAATCCCAGGGCTCAGGGAGGCAGAAGCAGGTGGATCTCCGTGAGTTCAAGGCCAGCCTGGTCCAGGACAGCCAAGGCTACACAGAGAAACCCTGCCTCAGGGGAAAAAAATAACAGCAACAACAACAACAAAGTAAGCACAAATGACAACAACAAACAATTTAAACATACATAAATCTTATAATCTAATCTAATATTCCCTTGTCTAGTTTATCTTTCAATCCTTAGCCAGCTAGGTTTTTGCGATTGTTGTTGTTTGCCTTTTGAGGCAGGGTCTGAATATTAACTATGACAGGCCCAGAACGTGAGGCAATCCTTCTGCCTCCTCCAGATTTTAATTATGTTAGACCATAAATATTTCCCATACTTTCAGTATTTATCTTTTTAGCCATAGCTTTCTTCTCTTTCCTATTTTATTAGTCTTCTCAGTGGTACTGAGGTTTGAACACAGGGAGACAGAACTCCACCTCTGAGCCCTTACCTAGCCCTTACCTATAATTTTAAGTACCACAGTCATGTATAAGTTTCTTCCCAAGTCTTTGTTGGACTGTCTCTAATTTTTCCTTACCAAATAAATAAAATAAATAAGATGTTACATAAGTTTACTTGTTCTTTTGAACAGTTTCTTTATGTCCTGTTTAAAGAATAAAATAATTTTTTTCTGATTCTAGATACGTACTGTCCTATCACTCTCCTAAAGGACACTTTAGTGATCTCAATGTCATTTGCCAGAGCCAGCACTGGTTCCTGCAGGCCTCCCTCCCTCATCTGCACTGCTCACAACTCACCAGCAGACGCTTCCCTTGCCTGATTTCCTTCTGGGAAAACTGCCTGGGCCATTTACTGATGGAGAATACTCTGTTTTCACAGACCCAGAGCCAAAGACTGTGACCCTTCACCCCAGCGGTCCTCCCCCGGCTTCCCCGGCTTCCCCGGCTTCCCCGGCTTCCCCGGCCAACACCTTGAAAAGCATGTGAGTGTGCAACTTGTAGCAACATGGGGCTCTCTGCATACATTGTAGGGTTCGTTTTTCTCAATTTGCTTTCTGTTGTTTGCTTGCTTGCTTGCTTGCTTTCTGAGACTCAGGAGATAACATGCTGGGAATAAAGGAAAGAGGCCCATGGGAAGACTACACATAGATGAGTGAGCTACTTAAACCATGCCCTCCTGGTCAGGAGGAAGAGTAAAGTTTGTAACGGTCTAGGAGCGTGCACCTGAGGTTTACAGAGACCCTGCAACGCTGGGGACACTCAGCTCCTCCTGGTTCCTGTCTTCAGCGTTCATTAACTCTGGATGGACACCATCATGGCTCCTTCTCCTCCCCGCCTACCCAGGGACACCTTCCCTGGGTGCTCACTGTGAGCCCACTGGCCAGCAGCCCAGGCAGCCTGCCTAGTCCTTGCTCCTTGGTCTCCTTTAGTTGTGGCCTTTGCTGTAGATTTCTTTGCAACCAGCTGGAACTAGACCTTATAATGGGCTCCATGAGCCTGGAATGACTTGAGACCAGCAGTATAAAGACTCTCTTAGGTCAAAAGGTTTTGTGTGGAAAAAGAAGCAAAAGGAGAGTCTATAATTGAGGCAGCCACATTTAAAAAAAAAAGTATATATATTTTCAGTTTTCTATCCCTTTTCCCATAACATATTTTAAACAGATTATTACAACTCCCCTTCCCCTAGCCAAAACCAATAAAATAATCAAACAGAATTCCTTTTTCTATCAAGAGGACAATAAAAAGCATAAAACACTTCACAAAATTCATTACAGTTATTGTGGCTAAAATTCAGATTTAACACAGATTCCTAACTGTGAAAAACAGCAACATGGTCAGGTCCATGGCGCTCATTTGCAGCTTACTTGTTCCTTGGGGGAAACAGGAGTTTTCCTAGCACCAAGTTCTAAAGCAGACTTCTGTAAGTTTTTATAGAGTGACATTGAATGATTTAAAGACTCACGTATCTACAGGAAATTCCATCTACCTCATTCAACAAATATTTCTCAAGTTTCCACAGCAAAGCCCTGGGCTAGTACACTGCAGTAAATACATTGCTTTAACTAAAAGAAAACAAGACCCAGGCCAGGCCCAGCGCCCAGCAGGCACTGCTGCCATCTTTACACCAGGACAGTGATGGCTATGATGCCGGGACACACGAAACAGGGCACATGCAACCTCACAGTGGTCGAAGGAATGAGTGGGGCAGTTGCATGCTTTTGAGATCATCCTATTTAAAGGCTGCTTTTCTTTTGCAGCCAATCCTTTGATAGAAGACATTTCAGTTGTACGATTCTGTTGTTCATCAAAGGCATAGAGTGTGAGGGCGATCTGACTGCGACATGACCCTCCGGGGATTGATCGCCATGGTTGATTCAGTTACCCTGATTGGCTAGGCTGGTGTCCCCTTCCTCATTCACTGCTCCATGTGTAACGCCCAAACCCGCCAGCCCCACTTCAGGGAACACCCTGTCTTTCTTTGTTCAAGGGTGCTGGAGTCATTGCACCTCCCTGCTAAAACCTCCAAACAAGCTCCCAACTAAAGGTGTAAATAACTATTATGGGGCTGGAGAGATGGCTCTGTTGTTAAGAGCACTGGCTGTTCTTCCAGGAAACCCGGGTTCAATTCCCTACACCCACATGGCAGCTCCCAACTGTCTGTAACTCCAGTTCCAGGGGATCTGACACCCTCACACAGACAAACAAGCGGGTAGAACACCAATGTACATAAAATAAAAATAAGTATATCATTAAAGAAAAGAATCACATGCATTTAAAGAAAAAGAAAACTATTTCTCCAACTGTCTGTTTTAGGGCTCACCTTAGAGAGACCCCAAAGTGAAAACCACCATCTCCCTTATGCAGGAACGCGTGAGAAGAAAGTTGCCTGAGTGTGTCAAATGTCCCAACAGCCAATCGCAGCTGCTCTGTCAGCGTTTGCTCCCCCACCATCTTCCCTCCCACTTGACTTCTTTCATTCAATTGGTCTGTTGGCTTGCTCTCTTCAAAGGGACAGAGTTTACAAGGTGTCCCACCTGCACAGGAGATTCCTAGAACATGAGCCTGCATCCCCAGGGAAGTTGGGTTCCAAGACTATACCTCGTCTTCCAAGAAAAAATAAGAAAACGCAACCAAAACTGTTCAACCAGAAGACCAAAACTGCCATCAGTCATGTGAGTGTAAGAATGAAGAATCTGGTCCTGAAAACCTGCTTGGACCCTCCAAGGCTCCATGTAGACTTCTTTGGGTTGCTTAATAGATAAAGAACACCTGACCGAAAGGGGCAGTAGAGCCTGAGGGCCAGTGATGGTCCTCACAGCAGGCCCTGCATCTTGTACTAGGCTGCATCTTCCTGAAGGACAAGGGCCCCAATACAAAAGAAAAATACAAGGGGGCAGGTGGGCTGGAGAGATGGCTCAGAGCTTAAGAGGGCTGACTGCTCTTCCAGAGGTGCTGAGTTCAATTTCCAGCAACCATTTGGTGGCTCGTAACCATCCATAATGACATCTGGTGCCCTCTTCTGGCCTACAGGCACACATACAGGAAGAATATTGTATAAATAATAAATTTTAAAATTATATATATATAAGTGAGTAACCATGGCCCTACTCTGTCATCTTCTTTTAGGGGAAAGTTCCACGTTGTCACAGATCAGAGGGAAGGGTGAAGGTTGGCATGGCTCTTGCTGTGCGCTCTCTCAAAGTTACACATGACGCAGCAGTGAGTAAAGCTGGCTCTGTTTCAACCAGTGGGCCAGCAGTGGCTACACTCACAAACATGAAACCTGCTTCCTTTGCTTCAAGCTCTGCAGACCATGACTTGACATCAAAAAAGAAGGCAGGCCATAAAGGGCTTTTCTTACTCTCTTCCACTGTGGAATGGTTCCTATATGTATCACAGTCCTCTTCCTAAATTTCTTCCTTTAGGGAAGGGAGTTGGTTGACAAGGCTAACAGGAAGAAAAGAACCAAGACAGACAAGGGCAAAGCACACAAGAGAGAGAGAGAAGAAAGGGTCCCGAGGCAAGCCGAGGCTGTCAGAGGTAAGACTGTGTGCCGGTGAGGAACCTGCAGGCTCCTGACAGGCAAGGGGCAATATGGAGAACGGACTTTGCTCCTGCAGGTCAGGCTTTGCTTGGTTTCCTGCCTAAGCTGGCTTTGCAGCCTGACTTCTGAGCAGTATGTCTCAGTACACACGGACAGAGGAAAGCAGGGCCAAGCAGAGAGCTGTGACGACCGTGAGACCGGATAACAGCAGCACTCTGCAAGTGTTGGAATGAGAGCCACCATGTTGTTTGAGTGCCTGAGGCTGAGAGGGGTCGGGTAAGGGGCATCAGGGTAAAGGTGCACCCAGGGTCTGTACGTTCCTGTCCGGGGCCCAATGCATATTACATTACTGCTGCCATGATGAGCTAGTAACTACAGGCCCAGATCTGCAATCTGAAAAGCTGAAATGCAAAGCGTCCCCAGGTCTGAAACGCTCTGCCACAAGCAGATTCTGCATCTGGCCTCACTAAAGATACTGTATATGTCTCCTGAGTACTAGGACCTGGGTCTTGCAGGCTATTTGACCTACAGTTTTATTTTGATTCTGAATACAACCCCTTGCTGCTTTAAGAAAAAAAACATAAAATTACCTTCAGGCTGAGGGTGGAAAATGTGTATGGAGCGTTGACAAACTGCATGAATAGCTTGCATCCCTCCCCAGGATTTCATGTTGCGCACATTTTATGTGTGTGTAAATATCCTAAAACCAGAAAATTTCCAATCTGAAGTTCTTCTGATCCCAAACATCTCAGAAAGGGGGTGCCCGGCCTAGGCACCCCAATCTAAGTTTCAGGCAGTTTAGGAAGGGGAGAATGAAATAGGGTCTGAATGCCTCTCCCACCATCACGCCTCCTAGTCCTTCTGCACCTTACAAAGGCCTCAGATGCTTCTGAACCCTTTAGCCTAAAACTCACCTGTCCTTTATTGCCCCAAGATTTGAAGGCCCTTTAAACAAATCACATATTGTCGCTAGGACTACACTAGCACATCCCTGGAAACAGATCTGGCTTTAAAGTTTGCTTTTTAAACTCTTGCTGAATTTACATTTGTCTAGCCCTTAGCATCAGCAGAAATAGGAAAAACAAATGCCCTCAACCCTCAGAGGACTAAATTTCACCCAGTGGAAGCTGTGACCTCAGGGCAGGACTTTCTGGATATGCCGAGGTCCTCCCCTGCCCCGCATAGGTCAGGCGGAGCTTTTCTTTGCTTCCAGGGCTGGGGATTGAACCTAGGGCCCTAGGTACTAAGCACATACTCTTCCACTTTGCTATGTATCCAGCCAGACATGCAACCTTTCCTGTTGCATACTGCTAAGTGGCTGAATCTTTACTGCTCTAAATATAATGCAGGGGTGCTTTTCTCAAATCATTATTACAGTGCAGATTCTATTCACCCAGATACTGGGGATGAGTTCAGGAATATGCACACCACTTTATCCTACTGTGTGCTTAATCTTAAAAGTTCTTAAAGGGCCCAGTGTGGTGGTGAGAGACCAAAAAGATTAAAAATTAGCAGCTATTATTAATTAAGGCCTGAACTATGTGGGTGGAGAAGTCCAGTAATGCCCTGAGGGGAAGAACCTGCCATACTGCATTCTTTCCCCACCCACTAGAGATACAGTTGCTAGGAAACTGGCCCATTCCCCCCTAAGGAGGGAGGGACCTTCCTATAGCCAATCATTTCAAAATGTAGCATTTTGACCAATAGATGCTGGCCAGGCAGGAATTGCCCCTGCCTTGGGTATGCTGGGAGGGACCAGAATCTTTAAATCCCCCAACTAACCTAAGCACAGGGCTCTGGGCTCTCACCGCTTCGGCGGGGGGTGGGGGGTGGGGGGGGTGAGTCCAGCTGCAGCTTGTAATTTGTAATAAAAAGATCCTCATGTGGTTTGCAACGGACTCGGCTCCTGATGGTGGTCTTTTGGGGTATCGCGATTCAGGCACAACAGTGGCACATGCCTCTAACCCCAGCATTTGAGAGGTAGAGGTGAGTCTGCAGCCAGCCTGGTCTATATAATGAGGTCCAGGACAGCCTGAACTGCTGAGACTCTGTCTCAGAAAAAAAAGAGTTACTAAAGAGAATGAGGTCACATTCTTCTACTCAGCCACACCCCTGTCCCCAACTGTTTCCCCCAGGAAAGTCAAAGGGTGTGACAACTGAAAAGAAATCACAGCCAAAAGAAAAGAAACCAGAAACCAAAATGAAAAGGAAACATAAAGAATGGAATGTGGAGATGGCGGCAGAGCTGAGCAAGCCGGACGTCACTAACCCCAAGGAAGCAGAAGGCACCTCAGAGAGAGGGCTCTTCCCCTCACATTCTGCCCCTGAGGACCCTTGGATTTCTCCTGAATACGATGCTCTGGAGAGCCAGGTTTCTATAGATGGAAGATTGCCACTCACCCAGGCCATAGGTGTCCCCAGCAACATGGAATCTGAAGAAGACAGAAGCCCTGGAGACCCTTTCAAGGTATAGGCAGGTGTTCTCTCCAGGGGAGGTCTGTCCTCCCATGACAGGACTGTAGTGTGAAGAAGTATTCCTAAACAGGCTGTTGTTTCTTGTTTGTTAAAGTTATTTTATTTGATGTATATGAGTGCTCTATATGCATGTGCACCTGTGTGCCAGAAAAGGGCAACAGATCCTAGTATAGATGGTTGTGAGCCACCATGTGGATACTGAGTTCAGTGGATACTGAACTCAGGACCTCTGGAAGAACAGACAGCGGCTCTTAGCCACTGAGCCATCTCTCCAGCCCCCCTAGGCTGTAGTTTCCAAAACTGCCCAGTATGTGGTGGTTATTTGTTCTACTTTGGTACCTCCTGACTCTAGTTAGAAGCCAGACCTGATCAAAGACCCAAAGAAAGAAGCTTTGGGCCTCTGAAGTGAATGAGGCGATCTGTGTTGCCCCAAACTGCCAGGAAACATATCCAGCTCTAGTAAGTAGGAGGTAGGTATGGCAGCCATCTGTGAGATATACAGGTCTCACTGGGACGACAGAGAAAGGCAGACGCACTGGCAGTTAGGCCACAATTTCAACTTGGCCTGGCAAGTTGCAAAGGCCAAACAGCTGGACCACACAGCTCGCAGGCAAGCAGGGTGCTTTTTTACAAGTTTCTGTGTTCCAGTGGCCTTGATGCTTTTCTTTTTTTCTTTTTCTTTTTTGGTTTTTTGAGACAGGGTTTCTCTGTGTAGCCTTGGCTGTCCTGAACTTGCATTCTAGACCGGGCTGGCCTGGCCTCAGATTCACTGAGATTCACCTACCTCTGCCTCCCTGAGTGCTGGGATTAAGCCCGGCTCAGTGGCCTTGATTCTAAGGTGCAAGTTTGAATAGAAACATTCAATGAGGAAAATTATTCTTGGAATTCTCATTAATTAGTCAAAAGGAATAACATCCAGACATATCACCTCCCAGCCAATGTTTCTTCTCTGCTATTGGAATCTTCACTAGGATACACAACTACATTTAGAGCCTTTGAACTCCAAGACATCTTTGAACAGCACAGCACACAGGCCAAGTCTCTGGATAGACATCTGCACACAGAAATCACTATAGTACCTCTTTACACCCCCGTTTTTGGCCGAGTGTGGTCAGCCTCAGCTTACAGACCTAGAGACCAAGGCTACAAGTTCAGTGCCAATTGCTAGATGCTACACAACGTTCAGTCGCTGAGGCAAGGCTTGACCTCAGGTCTGTTGACTCCAGGTTCAAAATTCTTGTCACTATTTTAAATAATTGCTTATTTATTTAATAGCACAGTGTTCTCCAAAAGTTCCAGGGACCTTTTGCCCTTAGTGTCCTCAGACCCTCTCAGCTGCCTAGACCACAGAACTCTGCTCTGCACAATTGATTTTGATCTGTGAACGGAATTTTCTAGATCATCAGAATTTCTTAAGATTTGTTGTCAATCCATGGTAGCATTCTGCCTCTGCAGAGCCAACGAGTGTGAACTCCAGGTAGGCCAGAGTCCTGTGGAGTTATTTACCTGTGTTCCCCACCTACAAATGTGACCAAGTAAGAAGGTAGCATGAGAGAGGAAAAAAGATGGATCTATAAGCTGAAAGAAAACCTTTCACTGAATGGTGGGTTAACTGAGCCTGACTCCTCCATAGCCAAGACTGCATGACCTTTTATCATGACCCTGCCTTCCAGTCCTAGCTCTGAAGTTTTAAAATCTCTAGGAGCACCTCCCTCCCACCTCCTGGAGATTTTCATTTGTTGGACCAAATGGCGCTCTGGCATATTTTAAGAACCTTGGGCAGTTCTGAAGTGCAGCTAAGGTTGCAAACGCCAGAACTGACACACTGAACATGATGATGACACCCCTGTTACCACAGTGAGTGCTGGACGTGGCCCTTGAGGAAGACAGTATCAGGAAAGCTGTGCTCCCCCAACCCAAAAGCAAGTGAAAGACTTGACTGTAAGTCAGTCCAACCCCACAGCCAGGCAGGCAGAGGTGGCTTGTGCCGCTGTGGTGATAGTGTGGAGTCAGCCTTAAGAGTCCATCTCCGATTAGAGAAAATCCTACTTGGGGCACAGCTGGATCCATCCTTTACGCTGCTGACACTCTGGTCTCTCAGGCCCTCCTGGAGAAGAGGCAGCAAGAGAAGGCTTCTCTAGACAGAATTGGAACAGAGAGGGCAGAGATGGTGTGGCTGGAGGCGGAGCGGAGAAGGGAGCACGAGTTGCTGGAGCAGCTGGAGACTGCAGAGAAGTTGAAGGAGGAGCTGGAACTGGAGCATCAGAGGCACGCCGAGAAGATCCGGTGAGCCAGCAGCCCCGAGACGCCAGACACAGCAAACCTTCCCCAGGCCCACAGCTCAAGTGCCCACTCGTGGCCTAACACCAAATCATAGGAACAGCCTGGACCACAGAGAAGGATAAGATACTGTCTTGACCATGTGTATGACTCGAGACAGAGGCTCCTAGGAATTCCTGGGAAGTCTTTGAGAGTCAGTCCAGCATTTATCAATGTCTGCATTGTACTAGGTTCTTTCACTAGGTTCTTACTCCCCACAACTCTATAAGGCAAGAATTTAAAAATCCATACTTTAAGGATATAACATTTTAAAAAGAAGATAAAGTACAGAGAACTTAGAGAACTTAAGGCTCTTAAAATCCTGGCCACTGTGAGCTCTGTGCTGAAACTTCTGGGTTTCTTCTAGACCATCTCTCACCTCTGCCTTTCAGCCCGAGCTGTAGAAAACCTGTTCTCTGGAGGGCGCTCCCTGGGGCCTGAAGGCTGCATAACCAACCGCCAGTTGGTTGGACCAGTATTCTTGCCATTGCTCTGACATCTCCTGTGTTCTCAGCCTGAGAAAGCAGAGACTGGAGGAAGTACGGCAGCTGCAGGAGGAAGCAGAGAGGAAACAGAGGCTCCGGTTCCAGGCAGCCCAAGAGAGGGCCCGGAAGCAGCAAGAGGCATTCCGGAGGAAACTGCAAGAAATGCAGAGAAAAAAGCAGCAGGAGGAGGTGGAAAGGGCTGGTGAGAGAATTTCTGAGCTTTTTATATCTCCCATCTCTTGAACCAAGAATACTTTAAATCCACTGTGGGCACTCTTTTATTCCTATCCTAGGCCTCAGTGGACAAAGCACTTGGCATGTATAGGTAGCTTTTTTTTTTTTTTTCCAGAATGATAATTATGTCTGGCTATAGTGGGTTGATATGAAAGGATGGAATATGAATGGAAGACTCTTATGGAAATGACTGCAGGGTCAGACTCCTGGTTCAATAATTGCCTTTGTCAGCATTCTTGGGAGCTACCCAAACTCCTCTACCTGCTCCCTTCATCCTGCAGGCAGACAGTCACAGATCTTTGGAGAGCCTCAAGACGCACCTTCAGGTGTGGATCAGATCATTTTCTGGCATACTTTTCAGGATGAGGGTAGAGGGTAGAAAGTTCAGTGGCCGGTGCTGTGGTCAACTTCTGGTTTGTACTCTAGTAAAGCAAGCATGTTTCTCTAGAAACACCTGACACTCCACCCAACAGCACATTACCCTGTGAGCTTTTTAATGCCCGTTGGTGCTTTCACATGGGACTTGGATTAATAAATCCAGAGGCTCTAGCAGATTAGAAAGGTAGAGCAGAAATGCCAACTGCTCTAGGAACGGCCCTGCTGAGCCCAACTCTTTCTATTCTGCAGAGACTAAGAAACAAAGACAGAAGGAACTAGACATGCAGTTAGCGGAAGAACAGAAACGCCTGATGGAAATGACTGAAGAACAACGGCTGGAGTACCTGTGGGAGAAACGAGAAGCAGAAGAGAAGGCCAGGCGGGAGGCTGAGGAAAGCAGGCAGCAGGAAGAGAAAGCAGCAAGGCTAACTCTGGAGGAAGCCAGGAAACTAGTCCAGGAGCAAATCAGGTACTGGAAGGGGGACTACGGCTACTGTGAGGGCTTGTTTGGAGGCTCAGAGGCCCAGTGCCAATGCCTTTATGCACGCGGTTCTCTCACCCACTACAGAACGGCTAGAAAGACTAAAACGCAAAGAGCCACTCTTCAGTAAGTACAAACAGCGAAGGATTCTTCCTTGGCTTAGAGAAGGTGCACTAAGGCTAGGAGGAAGTTTAGGGAGATTTATCTTGATCTTCTGGTTTACAGAGAAAAGTGTATCTCAAATCAAAATAACAGCCAAAAACGAATCCTAGAGCTACTGTGCAGCAGGGTGGTAGAATGTTTGTTTGCTTTAGATGCTGGGTTCAGCTCCCCGTGAAAGAGGAACAAGCTCTCCATCAGGACCAATCAGTGACTTATGGCCAATACTAAGACCCATTATGCAAATTGTAGACTTTAGGAATTCAAAAGTAGTTAATTACATTCTAGGGGTAAGGACGGAGAGATGCCTGAAAAAGAAATTTTTTTTAACCTAGCAACAAAATATGTAGAAATACTTTAAAGATGTGACAAGAAGCTTTAGATTGATAGCCCAGAGCTTGCCTCTCATGAGATTTTAATACTATGAAGTTAACCATACAAAAATGTAGATGAGTATTTCAGAGAACAGTAAGTGAGCTGTGTGAGAACAGAAATGAGACTGACATGCTGAATGAATAAAAGGCTCAGCATTGCTGGAATGCGGGTGAATAGTGGTACTCTGGAGGTGGATCAGGACCAGACCTAATGTCATATTACAAGAAACTACATAAAACAAGTGACCCTGGGGCCAGGAGCATTTTTGATCCTTTACAATCATAAAACACTGAAAGGTGAGCTGGGTGTGGTGCAGGCCTATAATCCCAATCCTTGGAGGCAGAAGCAAAAGGGCTCTTGGAAGACTCCTCAGGTAGAGCAGTAAGATTGTCTGAAGACAGACAGAGGAGGTGAAACCTCTTCAAGGATAGAGGGACAACCTGGAAAATCATGTCTCCAGCACTAATTGTAAACACTTCTCCCCTTGAGTTGTAACTTTCCACAAATTAAATTGAATCTATAATACTCTTTAAAAGGTCCAGAAAGAGAAGGCACCAAAAGTCAAGACTTTATATTAAGCTTTCATTGTTCCTTCGCTGGACTTTCAGATGCCTGGGGAATTACAAAATAGATCATTACAAAAGTCGTAATTCAGCTTCAATAGTGAAGACATCGTATATCATGGAAATAGTAATGAGATAAAATACAAGCTACTAGAACCCCCAACTTTTCAAGAAAAACTGACAGTCATTATCAGGGTACTTGAGTGATGCTGTAAAACTAATCCAGGTAGCTGAGAGGAAACCAAGCAACTAACAGAGTAATGGACAGTCCTACCCCAAAGACTAGAACTCAGCGCCAACCACTTCATCTGCCCCTGCACTTTAATTCATCTCTAAAACAGAGAGTCTACTTTAATCCCAGCACTCAGGAAGCAGAGGGAGAGACAGGGGGCTCTATGTGAGTTTCCGGGCCAGCCTGGTCTGAACAGCATGTTCCAGGACAGCCAGGACTAAATAGAGAGACCCTATCTCAAAAAATTAATTGAAGCAAGCAAGCAAGCAAGCAAGCAAGCAAGGGAATCCCTAACTAGTAACATTAGTGTAAGGACTGAAAATTATGTCCTTTTTACTTTCCTAATAGGAATTTCATGATGTTCCCAAATAACGTTCCACTAAATCCCACAACCAATCAAATAATCTTCCATCCACTAAAGCCCAAATCTGATAATCAGACAACCCAAATCCAAAACTCTACCAACTTACACGACTGAATGCCTAATCATTTTTGGAATGGGGGTGGGGTTGTCTCTGCAGGCAAAAAGCTGCTTTGGAGGAACACTATTTTCATCGAGAACTCTTTAAGGAAGCCAATGGTCTGCAGTGGACACAGAACATTTCCAGACCGTGGGTCTACTCATACTTCCAGTTCCTAGACACCCCCAAGCCCTGAGGCTAGAAGGACACAAAGAAGTAAGTGGAGAAGTGCTGAGAGGAAAAGCTACATTTTTATATAAAGCTCCAGCTGAGCTCCATTACTTCCTTTTCATCTAGCTTACCTCAACCTGTACCTAGGACTGTCTTCACCCTGGACATTATTCCCAGGGTTCCCACACTCTCCACACACTGTGACTCAATGAACTTTTCACTTACTTAAATCCTTTTGTGTTCTTTAGGACCACATAAATTCAATAGTAGTGGAAGTGTTTACACTACCACTCCACAGATCCAGGTGGAGGCACTGACAGTCTTAGGACATTCTATGTGTTTTGATGTGTTCAAGAGTTGACGGAAAACGGAAGTTGTCACACACTAACTGTGGACTAGCTAAGAGGAGCTGATCATATTAAGAAATCCCTCAGGCCGGAGAGATGGCTCAGTGGTTAAGAGCACTGGCTGCTCTTCCAGAGGACCTGAGCTCAATTCCCAGCATCCACATGGTGGCTCACAACCATCTATAGTGAGATCTGATGCCCCCTTCTGGCATAGAGCACTCATATACATAAACTAAATATTAAAAAAAAAAAAAAATCCCTCTATGAGGCAAAACCACAATTTTATCCCGGGTATCTAAAACAAGTATCTTCTTCAAAGGCATGTTCGGAAGCACTTGATCCATGTTCAACTGAGCAAAATGAGCTGTTTCATGAGGAAATTCTCTCAATCCTCAAAGTGCAGGTCTAGAGCAGCGAGTTTGCATAAACTGACACAGTCTTCTATGGTACCAGCCGGGTAAGTGCTCAATGGCATAGGTAGTTGCTGGGAACTACATTGGCAAAGACATACTCTATTCCACCACCTCAGAAATTCCATCATTGTTGATCCTTGAGCACAAATCTTGAGATTTTTATTCCCAACTGTGTCCTGACGAACCTGCTCATACAACTCTAAACATGTTTCTCAGAAGCCTCAAGTCCTTTAACAAACTCTTAATGTCCAATAACCATCCCTTTAACAAAGCACCACAGAATGCTCGTTAAGACATTGTCAGAAATAAAATATAAAATGTTAAAATAGTAGTATCTGAATTTTCTAAACTTTGGATTGTTTAAGACAGGCTTTCTCTGTGTAGCCCTGGCTGTAACACACTATGTAGAAGACCAGGCTTGCTTTGAACTCACACAGATCTGCCTCTGCCTCTGCTGGGATTAAAGGTGTGCACCACCAGCCACAACTTAATTTTCCCAATTTTTAATCCACACTTGTCTTAGTTTTCTCATCACTTCAACAAAACTATACACACACACACCAAAAAAAAAAAAAAGAATAAGGAAAAAAAAAAAAAGCCTAGAAAGTTAGTACTGGTCCCTCTACATCAGTAGTCAAGAGAGAGAAATGCTGGCACTAACCTCACTATCCATTTCACTCAGTCCCGGACCCCACAGAATGGCAGGGCAGGGACTCCTACCTCCAATCTTTCTGGACACACACCCAGAGGTCACCAGAGTGACTTGAAATCCAGGCAAGCAAACAATGAAGATTTTTGTCATCACACTGTCCACAAATGATGGTTATTTACAGGTAACCCCTGTGCAAAGCAAATACTGTGTATTAGTGGGGACTAGTATTCCCAAGGTATTTGCTTAGCATGGGAATTACACTTCTCCAAACTAGAAATTTAGCCATTTTCCATTCTATAGTAAAGATATTGAATAACTCCTTGTTTCATGAACAATAGAAATAAAATGGCCAAACATGATGGGTAAGATCATAGTGAATTTAAATTCATTGTTTCTGGTGCTTGTCAACCCTACTTGCGCATTCATAGTATTTAACCAGACAATCAATACACACTCAAGAAGCCACATGCCACTGCTCATTTTATTTTCTCCCTTCTGCAAATTTCAGATGCTGCACTCACACACCAGATAGAATGGCTACTAAACACTACTTGGGGTCCTTTTCAAATACAATATATATTACAGTTTTGCTTCCAAGTGTCTATTTTAACGGCACTACCATATCAGCTGAACATATTTTTAGGCCAACAGTAGAGTGTGATTATTTTAGAAGACCTGACCCCCCCACCCCAAAAAAACATTTCTACAACTAATCTCCACCACTAAATGCTGAGAACCTTAGTTTAGAGTTACAAATAAAATTAAGATCCTTAGCCATATTCATGAATTCTGGATAGCTCAAGCAACCAACCAGATCTGTTATTTGATCTTGACAAATGATGCAGCTCAAAAGATTTTCTACAACTTAATTTAATTAACAGTCAGTATTTAAGGAATATAATTGTAAATGCCAGGTGACAGTCTAAAAGCTCTAAATTGTACAATACAAATTTTAAAGGTAAGGTCAAATGCTAGAGCTCCTCAAGGCCATCTGCTTTCTGAGCAACTACCTGAGAAAGGTTTTATTTGCTAAAGTAGTCAGATGGTACTATATTTAGGACAGCATGAAAATGGATGTGCACATATGCGTGTATGTACACACACACACACACACGTACAATTCTGTGATTCATTAAGGTTTAAAAAGTACTCTAAAAGGAAAAAATAAAACCAGTTGTGGTATCGTATGTGCACAATCCACGAATAGCACAGTCTAATGACATGACAGTGATGTCCGAAAAAAGGCATTGTGACCGTACCTAAATGCCTGATTCAGAAAGCAAGCCAGTAGCTTCCACTGCTCCAATGTCATTAAGGTCATTACTGTACATTACTAAAGAAATATAGTTGTGCCAAGAAAATCCTATCTGGGGCATTTTTATTTTCCTCCTTACATGGCTAAAATAAAAGAAGCTTTAGTACGGTTTTTACAAATATTGTTTATTTTAATGAAGCTGGTACAGACGATGTCCCTTGAAAACCCATGTCCCAGGCCAAAAAGTACAAACAAAATCAAAAGGAGCAGTGTCTGTTGCGTACACTTCTGCATAAGTAACTTTATTAACTGCTGACGAAGATTAGAACTCTCCTGGGGTCTTCTGACAAGACTGTTGTACTCAAGACACTTTCTTTCTCTCCAGTGAAGCCACCTTTGGAGTTGGTTGTTACTCTCACTGTATTTGTCATCTTGACTACAAACGTGATGTTCTTCTTTTGGTCCTGACCCTCAGATTTTAAAAGTAGCTTCAAGCTGAGGAAAGGTCATTTTTCCACAGTTCAGTTCTCTGAAAAACTTCCATGTCCCACTGAAATCCTAGTCGAGGAGTGAAGCAACCACATGCTGGAACTTCAGGGCCAACTGGAAGGTCATAGGAAAGCCCGCACTAGTCGATCTTCTTTATTACAAACCTAAAAATGCACAGTCCTGAAAAGGGTGGCCTCTCTGTGCACACATGACATTTTTTAAAAGAAGAAGCGCAATATTAAGGGAGCTGAGGTCTGATCACCAAAAATCAGTACAACAAAAACAACCAATAATGAATATTGAACACTAGAATTCAGATTACCAGATGTTCTAAGAAGATGGAGTGCCAGTATTCAATTTTCATTTTGAACACCACATTACAAAAGAACTATTTTTAAAAATAAAAAAGGATTGAGGGAAAAGGAGAAAAAATAAAAAGAATTATCTAAACCGTCGAGTGACCCCCTGTTTGTTCCTGATAAACTTCAATCACATCTTCTTCCTCCATTCCCAGCTGGAAGAAAGAAAAAAATATGTTAATGCTAGACTATAAAAGCTTCATTTTTATATTGGCTGCAATTATATGGCTACTATTTTACAGTACAAGAAGATACATATGTCACCTGTAATTAACAAGCCTCCAAGACTGAAAATCTTGTTCTGAGATGCTAGCCCCTGGGAGGTGGAAGTAAGAGGAATAAGGAGTTCAAGGCCAGCTTCAGTTAGTTCCAAGTCAGCCTGGGCTCTATGAGACTCAAAACACTAAAGAAGCCAGGGATGCTAGTACGTGACACTAATCCCGGCACTCAGAAGGCAGAGGCAGGCAGATATATCTGTGAGTTTAAGACCACCCTAGTCTATATAATGAGTGCCAGAGCTATGGAGAGAGACCTTGTCTAAACAAAACAAAAACTGGAAGGGGGAAAAAAAGAATATTTTTCATCTAAAGAACATTTGGGGAAAAAAAAGCTAGGAGTAATAGAGTCTGAGTTTTTTTTTAAAAAAATACTTTATTTTATTTCATTTTATGTGCATTGGTGTGAGGGTGTCAATCCCTTAGAATTGGGGTTACAGACAGTTGTGAGCTGCCATGTGGGTGCTGGGAATTGAACCCGGGTCCTTTGGAAGAGCAGGCAGTGCTCTTAACCACTGGGCCATCTCTCAAGCCCGAGTCTGAGTTTTTTGTTGTGTTTTATTTTGTTTATTCTGGGATAGAGTTTCTCTATGTAGCCCTTTTCTAGAACTCCCTCTGCAGACCAGGCCTCAAACTTACAGAGACTGGCCTGCCTTCTGCCTCCTGAATTCTGTAATTAAACGTGTGCACCACAGCTGCCACCACCGCCTGGCTTCCTAATTTCTGTTTAACAATGATCCACCCACCCAGAGATTTATCTAGTTATATGCTGTTTAATAATTACATTTCTATAAAATGAAGGGAAGGAAAAAGGGGGGGAATAAAATATAAAACATGTAGTCATGGTACAGTGCTTACTCCCAAACAATCTGGGAAGAGCCAAGGGGAACACAGGTACCTGACACACAAAAGGAGAGATTAGACAAAGATATTAGGTAAATTTATGTAAATAATACACAGCCTTTTTAAAATTCTGTACTTGTAACTTCTCTGCAAGATGAAAATATTTCAAAATAAAAACTTTTTAAGCCAGGCACGGTAGCACATGCCTGTAATCCCAGCACTGGGGAGGCGGAGGCAAAGGCAGGCAGATCACTATGAGTTCAAGGCCAGCATGGTCTACAGAGTGAGTCCACAACAGCCAAGGCTACACAGAGAAGCCCTGCCTTGAAAATAGATAATGCATTTTTATTTTTTAAATAATTTATTTAATTTTATGTGCATTAGTATGAATGTGTCTGATCCCTTGGAAATGGTGTTACAGACAGTTGTGAGCTGCCATGTGGGTGCTGGGAACTGAACCCAGGTCCTTTGGAAGAGCAGGCATGATCTTAACCATTGAGCTATCTCTCCAGCCCTTTTTTTTCTTTAACAATCTTTTCCTTTTTAAAAAAAAATTATTTATTTACTTTTTATTTTGTGTGCATTAGTGTAAAGATGTCATATCTCTGAAGTTACAGACAGTGGTGAGCTGCCATGTGGGTGCTGAGAATTGAACCTGGGTCCTTTGGAAGACCATACAGTGCTCTTAACCACTAAGCCATCTCTCCAGCCCCCAAATGCAGTTTTAAATGCGGGAGAAAGTCAAGAATACAGGTACCAAGTTGAAGGGACTCAAAATGGCCAGTATCTAAAGGACAGCCACACATTTTCAAGAAAAGGTAACTGTGATAGCTATTCTTGGTAGTCAACTTGACAAAGTCTTTTCTTTCTTTCTTTGGTTTTGGTTTTTTGAGATGAGGATTTTCTGTGTAGCCTTGGCTAGCCTGGAATTGATTTGTAGATGAGGCTGGCCTTGAACTCACAGAGATTCGCCTGCCTCTGACTCCCCGCGCTCTGGGATTACAGGCATGCAACACCATACCAGCTTGTTTTCGTTTCTCAGGAGACAGAGTTTCTCTATGTTATCCCAACTGTCGTAGAACTACCTAGCCTGACCTCCAACTCACAGAGATCTGCCTGCTTCTGCACAGCTACACCCAGTTTAGCTGACTCTGGATTCTCTGTAGATGGGAAGATCGATCTTTAAAATGGAAGACACGGAAGAAGGAAGCTTCTGCTCTACTTGCCCACTCTCTATGGAAAGTTCATTCCTTAACTGGCATTAGAGCCACTTCTTTAAGGTATTCAAACCAGCCAAGACATCCAGCCTCATGGACTGAATAACTACTAGATTTCTTGGACCTTCCATTGGTAGACAGACATTGTTGAAATTGCTGGACCACAGCCTGTAAACCACTCGAATAAATCTTTACACACAACACACACACATTTTTCTTATCAGTTTTGTTCCTCTAGAGAACCCTAATACAGTAACTTTACAGTAAATGAATATGGCAATTATCATTTAACTGAGACAGCAAAATTAATATTATTCTTAATGGAAGGTAGGGGGATATGAGGGAGGCAAAGGCAGGCAGATCTCTGTGAGTTCAAGGCAAGCCTATTCTACACAGTGAGTTCCAGGATACCTAGAAAGAGACCATTTCAAAAAAAGAAAAAAAAAAAAAAAAGAGTAGCACTGGCTAGCACCTTTAAATCCCAGCACTCGAGAGGCAGGCAAAATCTCTGAATTCAAGACCAGCTTCGTTTACAGAATGAGTTCTATCAAGACAGGACTACAACTACACAGAAAAACCTTGTCTTACAAACAAAAAATAAAATTGTTCTCTTTGTATGTATATGATTGTTGGCCTGCATGCATATGTATATGGATCATGTTTGTACGTGGTGCCCAAGGAAGTAAGAAGAGCGCATCAGATCCCTTAGAACTGGGGTTATATCTAGTTATCAACCATCCATCATGTGGGTGCTGAAAACTGAAGCCAGGTCCTCTGCAAGAGCAAGAAGTACTCAAAACCTTTGAGCCCCAAGGAAAACCTTTTTTGTCCCCAGATTGTTGAAATATGCACTGAAGCCACCCCCAGGATGCCCAGGGTGGAGTGAGATGACTCGAACATATGCATCATGACCTTCATGGAATCCTGTGTGCATTCGAATATGTATAATAAATATAAATTTTAAAAACTGTTTTTTCCCTTTTTATTTTGGTGCTAGGGATCAAACTCTGGAACACATGCATATGCACATGCTCTACCAGTGAGCTACAATCCCAACATATTTTATTTCAAACTTTTGAATCAGGAAAAAAAAAAAAAAAAGAAAGAAAGAAAAAGCCATACTTACTTCTTTTGGAGTATGATTATCAGCAATTCTCTGACCTTCAAAGAGAAACCTGAGTGAATTCATTGGAACTCCCTAAAAAAAAAAAAAAAAAAAGGAAAAAGAAAGTGTGTGTGAAAATCTTAGGCTATGTACCAGGCAGTGGTGTGTACCTTCAATCCCAGCACTCCAGAGGCGGTCTACAGAGTGAATTCTAGGACAGCCAGAGCAATACAGAGAAACAATGTCTCAATAATAACAAAAAAGAAAAGAAAGAGAAAGGAAGGAAGAAGAAACAGCATGAAACATGAAAGGCTATATAGACCATAAAATTAGATTGCTGATTCAATCATAATTATCATCTAAAGAGCACTAATGATTTGTTAGGAACGCCTTCCTAACAACACAGTCACAATGTTCTTTGCAAACACCCAAGAACCCTCATCTTCATTTTGTAAGGCCTGTAGAGAAGTTAAGAATTTTAGCTCAGAAGGGCTAGAGATAGCTCAGTGGTTCAGAGCGCTGTCTGCTCTTCCAGAGGTCCTGAGTTCAATTACCACAACCATTTGGTGGCTCACAACTATCTACACTAGAATCTGATGCCCTCTTCTGTCATGCAGGTATACATGCACATAGAGCATTCATATACATAAATAAATAAATCTTCAAAAAATTTTTAAAAGTTTTTCAGCTAAGAATGACTGCTAAGCCTATCCTCTCAGCCACTGCTATATTCATTTCCCCCTTTGAACTAGCATAGAGAAAATGAGGACCTAGATATATGCCCTTACTAGCTTCTAAAGTATAAGCAAAACTGGTTTTAAACATTAAATCCAAAGAACCTTCTGGTCGTGCCAAAGAACTAGCTAAGGCACAGTAGCTACCAAATGTGTGTAGATAATATATACGACAGGCTAAATCCAATGCCACAAAAGAGGTTTATTTTTTTTAAAACCATTTCAACATGACAGTTAAAGGGGAGATGACTTTTTTTTTTTTTTAAACAATTTATTTAACTTTTATTTTATGTCAGAAGGTGTCAGATCCCTTGGAATTGGCGTTACAGAGAGTTGTGGGCTGCCATGTGGGTGCTGGGAATTGAACCCAGGTCCTTTGGAAGAGCAGACAGTGCTCTTAACCCTTAAGCCATCTCTTCAGCCCCCACAGATGACTTTTTAAAACAAAATAACTTTACTGGAAAGTGCAAATCACAAATCACCTATTTAAGGCCTAGAAATAGTTCAGTGGTTAAGTGCATGGGTTACTCTTCTAAGACACAGGTTCAGTTCCCAGCACCCACATGGCAGCTCTCTATAACTCCAGTCCTGGGGGAATCCAACGCCCTCCTCTGACATCTAAGGTTACTGCATACATATAATGCACAGATATACATGTAGGCAAAACATCACCACACAAACATAAATAAAATTTAATTAAAAAAAAACTAACTTAAATACTTTTATCTGTGGGTGTTTAAACACTGCCCCTGAAAAAAATTACAAAGAAATTAAAATATACCAAGTGCAGTGACACACACCTTTAATTCCAGCACTCAACTGGCAGATTTTATACAGATTTTTTTTAAAGGAGTTAATTCCTTGGAATTATCTTGAAATGCATTTGAAAATGATACATAATTAGCAGAAATCTACATTTGTATAGAGGAGAAAACACTTTAAGTACTTATCAGAAGAAGGTATTGGAAAGTACATTTCTGTTTGTCTGTCTGTTACGCGTGGATGTTCTGCCCCCCTGTACGTCTGTGCACCACTGTGCAGTGCTCACAGGAAGGCATCAGATCCTCTAGGACTGGAGTTGCATAGGGTTGTGAACCAAGGACATGCTGGGAATTGAACCCAAGTCCTTTGAAAGAACAGTCAGTGCTCTTTAAGTGCTGAGCCACCATGTTTCCAGCCAAGAAAATATATTAACTATAGATGTAAATTGGATAGATGGCCTAAAACTGAGCACAGGGAAAATTTACAGTAATCACCAAAAAGGCCTGCCTTTATTATCACATGCAGATGGGAACCATCCAGAGAAAAAAATTTCATTTCAGTAGTCATTAAAACTGAGTTAAATTTCAGTTATTTCTATTTTCAAACTTTAAAATGGATCACAAGAAGAAAAGAATGGTGTATTAACTGATAAATTAGGGTGTTTTCCTTAAGTTCCTAATGCTGAAAATAGAATTTCTTTTGCCAAAGCACTGTATTTGATGTCCCAATATACAAACCTGTCTTTGACAGTATGATTCTTTGAGTTTCTTGAGATGTGTTGTCATTTTCACTTTGAAATGTATCTCACTGCTATCCTAAGGAGATAAAGGGAAACATTATTCCTTCTTTGTCTACACTAGTTACTTGAGCCTAATTATTTAATTATTCTTTGTCAATTATAGTTTCCACTAAAATATTCTTTTTAGCATTCCTAACTAGTTTCACTAAAACAATCTAATCAAATTCCAAGTTACTTTTTAGCAACCCATTATAAAAAATTAGTAAAGATGTTTTAGGTATCAAAATTAATATAAATTTATATGTCAGAGAATGCATTCCTTCATTACAGCATACCCATCAAAATGAATACTGTAAAAATAAAAATGAACTGTTACAAACCCTCACAAGCAATCAAAACAAAACATACTCTTCCATTCATACCAACTACAGTGTCCCTGAAGGTGGTCAAACCTAGGAGAAAAATACAAACTGTAAAGTGACATAGAAAACTTTTTTCTACCATGAAGTGACCCACTGAAGCTGGTATAAGCCACATAAATAAAATCTTCAGTAAGTCAAACTGAAGGTTTGGGGCCAAGGGTGTCACTCAGTGGAGTACTGCCCTTTCCTCCATCCAAGCCCTCCTGCACATCTCCCCTTACTCTCAAATTTATGGCCTCTCATTTTTCTTTCACTGTTGTTAAACACATGCACACACATATAATCCTAGGTATATAAATAGAATCTGCTCATTCTTACAGTTCCTTGTGTCTCTGATTTCAGATTGTTTTATATTACTCGTATCTATATGATTTCAGGACTGAGCACTGGTACTGTATAGTCCGTTTGGGGGTTCTTCTCTGGAGAAAACTATTTCTCCCCTCTTGGAATTCCTTAGCTCCCCACAGTTCTTTGTATAATGTTGAGGCCCCATCAGAGCTACCCCTTCCATGTTAGAATGTCTTGGTGGTTTTCATGTTAGAATGTCCTTGCTCAGGTTTTCTTTAGGCATCCATGTTCAGATTTCATCCTAGGTAGACCTTGAAGCTGAGACCCTTCTCATTTACTAACCTCAAGTAGCTGGAATTATAGGCCAGAAACATCAGGCTCAGCAAAGATGGTCTTTTTAATTAACAGCCTAGGGAAACACTCATATAAAAATAACTCAATAATAAAAGATGTAAATCTAAGAGCTAAACTATAAAACACTTAGAAAAAAAATCACAGGTGTAAATCTTTGCAACTATGGATTAAACAAGTTTCTTTTTTGTTGCTGTTGTTGTTTTTGTTTTCTTTTGTTTTGACTTTCTTTTTTCTTTTTTTTTTTTTTTGATTTTTCAAGACAGGGTTTCTCTGTGAAGCCTTGGCTGTACTGGAACTCACTCTGTAGCCCAGCCTAGCCTCCACCTCACAGAGATCAGCCTGCCTCTGAATCCTTGAATGCTGAGATTAAAGGCATGTACCACCATGCCTGTTTTGTTTGTTTTTGAAGAGAGTGTCTCTGTAGAGACAGCTGTCCTAGAATTCACTCTGTAGTCCAAGATGGACTCAAACTCAGAGATCGGCTTGTCTCTGCCTCTGAGTGCTACAGGCATGCAAAAAAGTGAAAATATAAACCAAAGCTAAGAGGAAGTATTTGCTAATCATGTATCTAGTAAAGGTTTACTACCTAGCACACCTTTGACTGCCTTTCAGATTGTTTCCAGAGTTCCAGAGAGGTCTAACTAAGGAAGTAAGAACCAACATAAATATGGGTGGGGTATAGAAATAACTCAGTAATTAAAAGCATATATAATTCGAAGGGCCTGAGACTGGTTCTACACACTACGTCTGGCACCTCACAAATACCTCTAATTCCAACTCTGGCTTCTATGTGCACCTGCACTCAAATGCAGATACAGAGACATACACAATTTAAAATCTTCTTTAAAAACAAAAAAATCTGCTGGATGTAACAGCACTTGCCTTTAATATCAGCACTCAAGAATCAAACAGTAGCAGGCAGACTTCTGTGAGGTCAAGGCCAGCTTGGTCTACTAAATGAGTTCCATGCCAGTTAGAGCTACAGACTGAAACCTTGTCACAAAATGTTGGTGTTGGTGATGATGGTGGTGGTGGTGGTGTCAGCAGCTGGAGAGATAGCTCAGTGGTTAAGAGCACTGGTTTCTCAGTGGGGCCAGGTGGTGTGTGCCTTTAATCCCAGCACTCTGGGAGGCAGAGGCAGGTGGATCTCTGTGAGTTCAAGGCCAGCTGGTGTACAAAGAAGTCCAGTCAGGGCTACAGAGAGAAACCTGACTTTTCAAAAAGAAAAAGAAAAAAGAGACTCATTGGAAGATTTACAAACTCATTTCAAATAAAGGAGTATTGCAAAGCAACTGAAATTAACAGACTGAAGTAGGCAAGAACAATCAGCATAAAGCACCTGTCTCAAAAAAGAAAAACAAACAAAACAGCACTGGCTTTTCTTTCAGAGCACCTGGGTTTGCTTTCCCAGCACCCACATGGCAGCTCACAAACATCTATAACTCCAGTTCCATAGATACCAGGTATGCAGGTGGTGTAGACACACATGCAGCCAAACACCTCTACATACAAAAATTTAAATTTAAAATAAAAATATTTAAAAACAGTGAAGGGTGGAAGAAAAAGAAAGGTTCAGTGGGTAAGGCAGGACACACAAGTATCCATCCAAGTTCAGATCCCAGTAGGAACAATAAAAAAGAATAAAGACCAGACCAAACTCTACTACTATGGGAAAGAAAGAGGAGGAGCCCTGAAACTTGCTGGCTACCAACCAGCTCCAGAAGCAATGAGAACCCCTGTCTCAGGAGATAAGGTGAAGAGTAACAGAACAGACACCTAATATAGCCTTCTCTGACTTCTACAATGTGAGCACAAGCAAACGCAACAACTGAGCATGTGCACTGCATGCACACACACCACGCTCAGGTAATAATAAAAAGAGTAAAGGAAAGGCTGGGGATATGGTTCTGGCCATGTGCCACACCCTAGGTTTAGTCCCCACAACCACTACGACTGCTAGAACACACATACATATACAGTAAGCAGACCCTCCAACACAAATTACTTCCTCAACGATCAAGGAAATGCATAAGCAAAATTGTCACAGTGGAGGCAGTAATCTCACAGCTGGAAGAACATAGAGGAGAACTCTCATACTTTGATGGTAAGAGTGCATTTCACTAATTCTGACATTAAAATAATAACAACAACATGCCAGCTATGCTGGCACATTTTCTTAATTCCAGCACTTGAAGGAAAAAGCAGGTACGTCTCTATAGTGTAAAGCCAGCCTGGTCTACACAGTAAGGCAAGAACAGGTTAAGGGCCACATAGTGAGACCCTGTCTCAAAAACCAACAAGCACCTTTTTTACCCCCAACAGATACATGTACAATAAGTTAAAATGCAATTTTTAAATAACTTGTCTTACCTAATACCTTTCCTATGTGTTCACACACCAGAGGAATGTCAAAGAAAAATAATAAAACTCACCTGTCCAATAACTTTGAGTTTAATGTATTCTCCTTCCTTCTTATCCCCTAAGTCCTCAGTTGAAGGTTTTGCCTCCTGAAAGAAATTTCCAGATTAAAAATTCCTAAATGCTGTATTAGTCACTTGTAAGTACCCATTACGTTTCCCCAGATAACAGACTCTGTGCCTAAGAATACAAAGAGCACTTATTCTCCACCACTCAATTATTCTTCAAACTCCCCATTCAGTAAAGAACAAGAAACTTAATTTCAGACGGTGTGGTGCATGCCTTTAATCCCAGAGCTCAGAGAGGCAAGCAGGTGGATCTCTGTTTAGGCCAACCTGGTCTACAAAGCGAGTCCAGGACAGCCAAGGCTACACACAAAAACCTTACTTTGAAAAAAAAATGAAAAGAAAAAGAAGACTCATTGGAAGATTTACAAACTCATTTCAAATAAAGGAGTATTGCAAAGCAACTGAAATTAACAGACTAAAGTAGGCAAGAACAATCTCAGCACAAAGCATCTCAGTTAGTCATTCTTAGTTAAACAGTGTCCTGGAAAATGCCACCAACAGTGGGTAAAGTAGCTGCACACACAACTTTAGTTCAACTACCACATTTAAATATTTAAATATTATTGTTATTCATATTAATTCAAAAAACCTTAAGGTATTGGAAGCCATTTACCCTGCTAGGTAATGAATTCCTATGATTTTGCAGCTAGCCTGATCTACATAGAGTTCCAAGGAAAATGTTATCTCAAAAAGAACTTAAATCCACATTCACTAAGAATTAGCACACTGAGCTGGGCGCGTCTCCCAGCAGTCTGGAGAGGCAGAAGCAGGCAGATCTCCGTGAGGCCAGCATGGTCTACAAGGCAAGCTAAGGCTACACAGAGAACCCATGATTTGGAAGGAAAAAGAAATTAGCACACTGAGCGGGATGTGGCAGTGCACACCATTAATCCCAGCACTGGGAAGCGGAAGCAGCATCTCTGTTTGAGGCCAGGCTGGTCTACAAGCCACGACCATTACACAAAGAAGCCCTGTCTGTTTAAAACAACAACAACAAAACACACTGAATTTTACAAGTAAAGCGGAGAAACTATGTATACAGCACATGCCACAAGAGTTAAAATTACTAAATTCTTTGACATTTAAAAATGAACATAACACAATTCCAACAGCACAGGAAATAATCCCAAGAACTGAAAATAGTATTGCAGAAAATTAAGTTTCTGCACAGAAAAAAAAAAAAAAATCAATAGAGTGAAAAGAACCTACAGATTGGGAGAAATCTTTAATCTTTGCCTCTAAAGGAGGCGATCACTATCTAGACTCTACAAAAAACAAAAAACAAAAAACTAAACAAAACATTCTAAAAATTAAATACAACGGGACTGGAGAGATGGCTCAGTGGTTAAAAACACTGATTGCTCTTCCAGAGGATCTGGGTTCAATTCCCAGCACCCACATGGCAGCTCACAACTGTCTTTAACTCCAAGATCTGACACCCTCTCACACAGACATATTTGCAGGCCAAACACCAATGCACATAAAATTTTTAAAAATTAGTTAAAAAATTAAATAAAACAACAACGAAACAAGCCAACCAACCAATCAATCAATCAATCAATCAATCAATGGGTTATGTTTTCTCTCAAATGTAGAATCTGACTGAAAGTCATATTAAATAAAGGGGACTATGGAGAGTGTGAAAGAAAGAGATCTAACATGAAGGAATAACGAGAGGATGACAAAGTATCTGTATTATGAAAGCAGAAAGGAGACAATATCGAGGAGGAAAAAGATCAGGGGTCAAGGGAGACAGAGGTAGGTCTGGGGAGAGGACAAACAAAAAGATCTGTATGTATGAAAACAACAAATGGAACCCATTTCTTTATGTTATTAGGTGTGGGGAGGGGGAACAAGTGAGTAATCACACAAAGAACTCCAAGAAACTTTAACTCCAAAATTCAGTCCGGAGTCTAAGAAAATGCTGAGGTGACAAAGGAGACAATATGAAACGGCATGCCCGTTTTCATTCTGCAGTGCTGTCAATGCTTCTGAGTACTGTGGCCGCGGACTAAATTAACCTTCTTTAGCCAGACAGCTCTCACCTGAAAACCAGAAGACTCGCTTAACAGTCTTGCCACATTTCTATGAATTTATAGTCATAGTAAAGAGTTGCTTATTCCTGTAATGAAGGGCAATAAAAAGCAACCAAACCTTCCTCCCCTTTAAGGGAAGGAAAGGGGTGAGAAGTTGTGCTTAAGCTAGCACAAAAGAAGATATCCCCCTTTCCCTAGCAGCAATGTATCACCATACAAATGAGCTCCAGTGTTTCCTGGTTAGGGTAGCTACAGAAGACACTTAGAAATAAAAAATCCCCCCTCCTCTACTCAATCATCTACAGAACTTCAGAACTCTCCTCTAAACATAGCTTTCTTGGATCCTATAATGCTCAAAAAGCATAGTAAATGGCTTCCAATACCTTAAGGTCTAAAAACAAACTCCATAACATTTCAATATATACATTACTAAACTCGTTTTTATTTTTCTCTTACCATTCCTTTTCTCTTACCATTCCATTCCAAACCCCAAAAAATTCCTCACCTTTTGCTAATGTCTCATATATTTCCATTGCTGTAAGAACACACTACAACCTAGGCAACTGATAATAAAAGAAAGCATTTAACTGAGTTTACAACTCAATAAGGTTAGAGTCCATGATGGTGGAACGAAGGTAAAGTGGCAAGAACAACATCTCAAACCACAAGAGACAAGAGTGTACGCACTGGGAACGACTGGATTTTTGAAACTGCAAATCCATCCCAGTGACACAACTCCTTCAAATCCTTCTCAGTCACCAACTGGGGACCAAATATTTAAATATATGAGCCTGTGGGGGCCATTCACATTTGACACCACACCCCCAAACATGTCCATCAACCTTCCATCTTCAGCCCTTTATGGCCCCAGTTTCCTTTACCTGAAATAAAGGTAAAACCTTCCCCAAAATCAACTCAAAGATATCTGCCCCACAGATAAACTAAAGTCTAATACTGAAATGCCTTCTTAGAGCCACCGTACTCTCCCAACCACTATCTTCCTTTAATGCGCCTACTTGTAAATCATACATATCCTACACTGAAAATATTGGCCTCCTTGACCTGATTTCTCTACTGCTGTCTTTATTTTTCCATTATTGTCAAGATTTTTACAAGTCAGTATTTGCTATGGGCACTTTTACTCTCTACCAGCTGTAAACTGGCATATGCATCATCATTCCACTCAAGCCTGCCCCTCACCATGGAGTTCCAGTTGGACTCCTCACTGCTAAAACCAAAGGACTCTCATATTTTTCCATCTCTGGCTTCCAATATTCAATCGATTTCTCATCTCAGTTGCTTCCTTAAATGATGGCCTTCAGCCTCTGCTTTTCTTCCTGGCCTCCTGGGTGACTACTTCTTAGATACTGTGTGTTGGTTAGTTTTTGTCAACTTGACACATTACAGAGCCCTGGAAGAGGGACAATTGCCTCCATCAAAATGGCCTGTGAGCAAGGATGGAAGGCATACTTTTTTTGATTTAGAGGTCCCAATCCACTGTGAACAGTACCACCCTTAGGCAAGTAGTGGTGGGTAAGAGAGTAAGCAGGCAGCATTCCATTCCTCCAAGACTTCTGCTTCACAGTTCCTGCTTTTAGGTTCCTAACTTGAGTTGCCCTGGCTTCTCTCAATGATGAACTGTGACTTGGAAAATATATGAAAGTTTTGGTTTCCATTTTTGTTTGTCTGGTTTTGGTTTTTTGAGATAGCGTAGCCTTGGCTACCCTGAAACTCACTCTGTAGACCAGGCTGGACTGGAATTCAGAGATCTGCCTACCTCTGTCTCCCAAATGCTGGGATTAACGGTGTGCGCCACCACTGCTTGGCTTGATCAGTGTTTATAATAGCAACCAAAAGCAAAACAGGACAGATATGAAATCAAAATCATCCTCACCAACTTGACAATTTCAGGGTTCACAGACTTTAACCCAAGGGCCTCAATAGTTGACATCCCTTGGGCAAGTAAGTATCTATAACTGGAGGCATTATTTCTAATTCCTTTCTCTGAAAACTAAAACTGAGACAAACTACTGGGCTATGAACATAGCTCAGGAGCGAAATACATGTTTGGTGTGCAAAAGTTCTGAGTTCAACTCCCAGCACTAAAGCCAGCAATCACAGCAGCAATCAAGCAAACAACAAAAACTAACTCTCCCCCGGATTCCCAACTACAACAGCGACCACACAGCGCATCTGACAACAACAAACACTGAGAATCTCTTTGGCCACCCTTCCTTCCTTCCGTCTGTTTGCTTTTTGTTTTTCTTGGTTTTTTGTTTTTCGAGACAGGGTTTCTCTGTGTAGCCTTGGCTGTCCCAGACTCCCCTTGTAGACCAGACTGGACTTGAATTCACAGAGATCTGCTAAGATTACAGGCATGTGCCACCACAGCCAGCTTGGCTACTCTTTCCTTCTTTCTTTTAAAGATTTATTTATTATGTGTACGGTGTTCTGCCTGCATGTGTGCCTACAGGCCAGAAGAGGGCACCAGGTCTAACTACAGATGGTTGTGAGCCACCATGTGGTTGCTGGGAATTGCACTCAGGACCTCTGGAAGAGCAGCCAGTGCTCTTAACCTCTGAGCCATCTCTCCAGCCCTTGGCTACTCTTTAAGTGTCCTATTTAGTCATTCACCACTGTGACATTTTAGTTGGCTCTGAAGCCTATCTCATGCTCTACCATCACTGAACCACTATAGGAATGGACATCTTCACCACTTGTGTAACAGCTTTCATGGAGCCATGCACCTTCTCATGGACTCGGTCTGTCTGCCTGTCTGTCTTTCTTTCAAGTCTTTTTCAATGCAGGGTCTCACTTCTCACTATGTATCTCTAGCTCTCCTGGCACCCACTCTGTGGATCAGGCTGGCCTCGGACTCAGAGATCTACTTAAATGTGCCTCCTGAGTACTAGAATTTAAAGGTGTGCACCACTATGCCCCAAGACTTATATTTTCTGACAGTCTAGAAAAAAAAAATCATAGACA